TCTTTAAGTTGTTTAAGAGGTTAGAACTTTTTTTTTTGGCATTTTTGTCTTAGGCATATTTTCCTCCTTTTCTGGTTAAGGGTCCGTTTGATTACAAAAGTGAAAAATGGATGAAAAGAAAATGAATATAATGAATTGAATTACCTAAAAATTATTTTAACATGAATTGTAATTATTTGTGTTTGATTTGCATAGTTTTTCACTTGAAAAATGTTGAAAGTTTGGTGTTCGTTTAATTTTATTCTTCATTAAAATTGTCCATTAAAGTGATAATTTCTTTTACCATTGGATCTAAAATTTGTTTAACTTGCCAAAAATTAAAAAAAAATTATCATACCGAATATCATTCGCTTGACTTTGTTTTGCATGAAAATTGTCAATAAAAGTGATAATTTTTTTTTTTTCCATTGGGTCTAGAATTTTTCCTTATTACCCAAAAAAAATTAAAAACTGAAAAATAAAAACCCACTTAAAAGGTGGGAAAACAATACGCCAAGTCAAGTCATAGACCTCAATTTGTGCCAAATCGACCACATGTCGAGTCCAGATCGAACCCACATCAAATAAGATAAGCAAGTTCCTTTATGAAAAGGTACAAGAAGATACTGACAATTGCACAAATGAAAAACCACTAGATGTAAATGAAAAAATTTCCACTGAAGAATGAATTGGTACAAATCAACTCATCCCCTTAATCTGAACAAAAACTACAAAATTCTCCTCAGGAGAAGATTCAATATTTATATATCCCCCAGAATTCTGTCGTTAAATACACTAAAGTGCTCTATACAAAGTCCCACTCTTTCACTCTCAACAATGTCTCTTGAAAGAGTGTTACAGTCGCTGGGGAGGATCGAACAATATCATAATTTGCAAGATTTGCACTGCTTAAAAAATTATCTCCTTCAAGATCAAAAGAACAAGCATAACGAAGCACATGATTACGAGCACTGTAGCGCACATAACCATACCACCTTGTTTCTGAGTTCTCTCTGCCTGCAATTCCGACATATATTAATTGGAAGATGAACCAAACTGTGTGAATAGAAAATGTTCATGATAAAGCTCGGGAAGTGAAAGAAGAATGAACCTTCTGCAACTGTTTCAGGCCCTCGTCTACAGATGCCGCCACATTTGTTATATTGTAATCTATCCTGTCAACAATAGTGCCCTGTTTGGAGACATAATATCACTTAATATCGTAGTAAATTTAGTTTATATGCAGCTATTGGAGAGGACTATAGCTTCTAACCTGATCAATCACCAGGACTGATAAATCCTTCATAATTTGGGCAAGATCATTGACCGATTCGACAACCTACCAGAACCCACAACAATACACCAAATGACAACTAGTGTCTGAGAGATGTAAATAATCAAGCAACAAACCTGGAACTCTCACTTACCTGTTGGATTTCTCTCTCCCTTTCTACAGTCAGTGCCTCGCTTTTCTTTAACTTGGTCATTTGATGTTCACTGAATCCCTAAATCGTGATAGATTCAATACAAACGAAGTTAAAGCATGCATCAGAGATAGATGAGGAAGATTGTAAAGTCAAATAAATTTTGGCTTGTCTATAGATAAATACGTATGTTGGAACTAGAACAGGATCTACCATTTCAATCAAAGATCAGACTGGTCAAAATAAACATTTAATTTCTGTTGGTGCATCTTCTCATGCAAGATCGAAAGTTCTTTCAAGCTAAATAGTTGACATAAACATGGTTAAGACTTACTTTTCGCGTACACTTTGGTGATAAATATTAAATAAGTGGCTGTTTCGTTATGACTCTATATCTTTCTAATTTCACAGGTAAGCAACCAGCACATACTAAAAGCTTTACTTAAGTACTCTGTTCAAGTCTGGAGTCCTTGAACGATGGGATATCCTGTAGTATGAGGGTTCAAGAAGAGGAATAAAGTGGAGCCATCATATAAAACATCTACCTCGTCATCTGTGCATGAAAATAATAAATTGAAGGAAAAAATTACACCGAACATGAATGAAGGTAAATCAGCATACCATGTCATCAAAATCATCATCCTCTCTCCTAGAATTGATTCCATTCAAGTTCATTTCCAAGTCAACCCCATCTGGACCCTACATAAAGCAGATAGAAGTTGAGAAACTTGGAGAAACAGAGTTTCCTGACTGTAAGATATTGATGCACAATAACTTATTGAGCATTCGGCAGGAGAAACCATCAGAAAACCACTCCCAATCACAAAAAATCCAGTAAATCCGTGAAACGAATGCTGCATGACACTTAAATTCTTAAAAAAAAAGGAATTTTAGCACATACATCTTTTTGCTGCCGAAGTCGCTGTAAATATGCGGATTGCTTTCGACGTAGCTCCATTGAAAGAGTCTGAAGGTCAGTGGCTAGAGAGCGCTGCCATAAGTATATAATACAGTAAGCACAACATATCCGAAACAAACTCTGAATGAATATGAGAAGTGATCAATATTTTTTCAGTGGAAAGAAGAGAGAACTGATACAAACAGTGAAACATGAGCAATATTACATTGTCGACAAGAGTGGTACGTCATACATGACAATACCATTGAGAATAGTTATGCAAAACAGTAACTCGTATCCAAATTCAAGATCAAGTCAAAATGAACTTCATGGCATTTTATCCTCCCGCCACAGAGTTCAAGTGTTTATAACATATAACCTTGTCAGTGTTGATAAAAGTGCACTGAGATTCCCACAATATACTGTTTCTTTGGTTGAATCATCAATCAAATCGATCAAATTTACCAATTTACAGACAATCTTAGCTTTTAAATAATATCACAATCTGCATTTTGTGGAGTTATAGGATTCAAAAAAGCAAATAACAATCAGATTTTACCTGCACATTTTTCCTGATGTTTGAATCCTCCGAAGGTCCACCAGCAGAAAGCCTTTGTAACCTTTTTTCCGATTTTTTCAAAAGGCCAGTTATCTCCTGTGTAAGAGATTCAATCCGGCGTTGATCTTCCTTACCATCTCCAAATGATGGCATTAAAGCTTTGGCATGAGCCTTTGCTAGCTCAGCCATTTTTACCCGCACATGTTGCACATTAGCTGCAATTTCTTCAGATAAATCCACCCAAGCTGGTGGTAGACCTACAGCGACTGTACCCCTACTGTAGTAGGAAAGTAGAATTTGGTTTAACAATATGTTAGGGGGTTGGAGAGGGAGGACCTTCAAACTGAAACTAAAAATCTCTTTTATTTGCAAAACAACATTTTCACACATCCCATATCGTGAAATTTGAGAAACCATGTTTTCCTGTAAATATGTAGATTTCTAAAACTAAAAATGACAACTAGTAAAACCCAAAAGGCTCATTTTCCCTTTATTAGCTAATGGTAGGATCTTTCAAGCAATGGATTCCGCAATACTTATAAAGAGGAATCCATAGAATGCATACAAGAAAAGGAATGGTGAGAAAACAGACAAGCAGAAATGCCTAGTTGGCTATTTAGTTGAAAGTAGACTGAAGAAAGTTCATTTGAATTGGACTTGAGAACAAACAAAGAGGTGGAGGAAGTAATATGATCTCATATTTCTCAACTCCATTGTTATAAAATAATTTTTTGGCCCGAGGATTCGGTGCAACTTTATTTAAGAGGCTTTAGAATATTTTGTAGGTTCCATATCTTCAGTTTTACATGGTGCTACATTAACAAAACTAAATTTCACAGGATTTATAGAGGAGCAAAACATTTTAAACTTTATTTTATATGATGTTTCTTCATCTTTTGAGTCCAAAGATAATCGCACATATAATTTCACTTAATTTTCTACTTACAAAACTATTAACATTAATCTTGAAAAGGGAGTGATTTTCCATTTAAAGGACAATTTTGACACATTAAGGCTAAGTTTCTTATGTTTGTTAATCATTTCTATATTAGTTTCCCTATTTTTATCTAGAGAAAACCCTCAGTTACATAGACTAATATGAATCCACAAGTAAACATTGATAGAAACATGGCACATGACATGCACGGGAACATTTTCACTTCATGCATCAAATTTTCTGGCTACTACTCAAAAAGAAAAAGAAACTCCCACAGATATATTACTCATCGTCCATCGACATTGAATTTGGTCTCTAAACTTTGTTGCTTATTGAAGATTGTCGATTTGAAGAATGGTAAGTTATGACAGTGCTGATTGAACTTTTCTTTAGGATGCATGTGTTCACACACCCATGTAGAAACAAGAAGAGATCAAAGAATGATTTTTAACAATTATTCTTCTATTATTTCATCTTTGAGGCTCCAATTTTATCTTTCTTTCAGCACCATAAAAGACCCACCACTGGGCCTGCTACTTCAACTAGAAATTTTTGTCCCACCCAAAGACTTTCCTTCCGTTTTTCCTTTTCTCCGTTATTTTGTCTTATATCATAGAAAAAGAAACTGACACAAGTTTCTCTTTGATTGCACATAGTTTTACCCCCAAGTAACATGGATTGCCCAACACAATCCCTCAAACTCTTCTAGTCCTAATTACAGTATCTCTCTCTGGGAAACACACTGTTCCAGAAAATATGATAAAGCTTTTTTCCTGATAAGTTTCTTTGACAAAGTTTCTTACCTATTCTTCTAAAAGGTGCTCTTTTTCTGAAATATACCAAAAGGAGGAAGTGAATAATTGACGTGCATAAAAAAATGGTGATCAATATCTACATTTCAATCATAAAACAAAATTAGTCCATGTTTGGTGTAGATTAAAAGTAGATAAGGATTTCAAGTCAAAATCAAGAATTAATTTTAACACACATTTCATGGGAGCCACAACTTTTCAACCACACATTTCATCAAGACATCAACTTTTATTAAAAAATGAAGTCAAAATCAATAATTAATTTTAATACACATTTCATGGAAGCCACAACTTTTCAACTATGCATTTCATAAACTTTTATTAAAATCTACTAAAAATCTGATTTTAATCTTCAACAAACAGGGGCTTAGTAAAATTCAGGTCTTGAAGCAAATTTTAGTGTGTCTACTGGAAGCTGAACTAGGGGGCAAAATTGTATAATATCATAATAGAAAGTAGAAACATTGTAAAACCACCACCACCCAAAAAAAAATAAAAAAGAGAAAAAGAGAAAGAAAAAAGGTCTAATCCCATAACACCAGAGGTCAGAAACAGAAATCATTCTCTTCCATTCCGCTGTCTTAAAAGTTCTTTCCTTAGAATCCACAATGGTCAAATCATATTCAAAATCTCATTTCAAGTTCCTCCCATCTTCCTCTTCCTGTGGACTCTAATTCTAAAGGTCAAATTAAGAAAATCCCAGCAGCTAACATTTGAAAATTATAAAATTTAGTGTTCAAAAGACAATGAGACCGTCAAGTTCTATCTTTACATCTACGCCGCTTAACAACAGTTAACAATTTCATCAAGCTTTCAAATCATTAATCAAGATTCAAAATTTATTCTCTTCACATAATAAACTCAGTTGATACCCTATATAAATTGAGACCTGACAACTCAATCCTAGTGTATTACAAAATTAAATGCTTAGTGCTTCAACTTTTTAACTGGATTTTATAAGCTAAATCCCAATTCCATTAGGAAGAGAATCTGCCAAAACACACAGATGCACAGAAAACCAGCAAGTTATCATAAATATAGCTCGCACTTTTGTACTTCTAGCGAGGCATTGACATGAACTTGAATCATCCCTGGGTACTATGTAAAACAATTTACTTTTTACTCAGATTGCTTCATCAATTAATGGTGTTCTGCTCATAATATACTTGGCATAAGTCCAAATAATGTCCTTTTGTGGTTGTTGCCGAAGCCATCAGAAACATTTTATACACTTATAAAAGTAAAAAACACAATTTTTAATTTTCGTCTTGTAAACTCAAACAGGAAAATTAATTTAGATCATTCAGCGAAATTCAAATCTCCAATCTATTCAAATAGGATAACAATAACTTTCTTACCCAGGGATCAACACATTACAGAACCTCTATGATCTACTGAATCAATGACACGGAATTCACAGACTTATGCAAGAGGATATTTATACCATCTCAAAAACTCAATTAGGACTAAAAATTCACGGGGTAAAATTTCAAAGTTGCGAAGTACAAACAGTACCTGGACGTTCCCGGATCTTCAGTACTTAGAGGGGCATATGAGCGATTGGGATTTAGTAACGACGTCGTCGACAGCTCTATCACGGGTCCTCCACTGGAGCTCGACGGCGACAAGCCCGAGGGAACCCGGACGCTCTTTAACGCGTCCCTGTACTTCTTATACAAGATCGTCCTATTCCTCGTCGCCATTGAAAACGAAAAACAATAACAAATTTCACCACAAAAAAAAAACTTCAATTCAAAATCATTACGATTCAAATGAGATCTGAAGGTATGCGGATCAGTGAATTGCTGGTTCCTGGTCGGATTCGGGATCGGGTTGAATTTCGGACCGAGTCGATCTTCTAAGTAATTTCAACAACTCTATCGACGGTATGGAACTCGTGAGTCGTGAAGGGATTTGTGCACATTTTTGCTAGGTGGGGGTTTGGGTTGTGTGGGGTCCGATGGGCCCACTTTTAGTCCTACGTGGAACTTTATATACAACTTATAGATTAAGCCTGGTATGATCCCAATTTTTTTAAAAAAATAAATATTTTTCTATTTTCTTTTCAATCACACGTATTTTTAATAGCAGAATATTACACGCAAATTTAAAAAATTTCTTTATTTTTTAATCACATATTCTCCATCAATCTATTATTCCAAAATACATTTTACAGAATAAAGATGGCTCAAACACGCTCTGATTGACACTAGAAGGCCTAAGACAAACAAGAGCTTAGGGTTTTAGCCCTCGTTTGTTTCTTATTTTTCATTTATAAAAATGAAAAATATGACTATTATCCATCACATCAAGCCATCAATTTTGAATTTATATATCTTATGTGGGGCCCAATAACGACTATATTGTTCATTTTCATTCTACAATAATGAGAATCAAATGGATCCTTAATTCCCTATGGTCGATTTCTATTTATGAATGAATCATATCGAGTCTTGTGAATACGAAACATCGAGATCAATCTATACATGCATTGCATAGTATGATCGGAATTTTTTTGAAGTTTACACGTGAAATGGATTCAACTCTTAATTAAATACAAACAAATGCTCCAAAGGAAATTCGAGACGAGCACAAATTGGAGTACTCGTATGGGATGATCAATGAAAATGGATGCTTAGTTTTAGAAGAAATATTGGGCATACATCAAGCTTAATAAATAACATGTGAACTATATTTGAAGACTTGTCCCTTCCTCTCAAAGAGAATTCCTTAAAGAGAGTCGTCTTACGTAGTATGTTTGAGCCTCATTTTTATGAATAGTGCATTTTGAAATGATAGATTGATGGATGACGTATTGTTAAAAAATAAGGAAATGTTTTGAATTTACGTAAAATATTATTTTAATGAAAAATATGTGATTGAAAAGAAAAATATATTTTAATAAGAATTATTCTACAAGAACGGGAAATTTCTACATATTGTTGACAAGAATTTGAAATGTTTTAATCCTATACATCACTGTATTGTTTTCCCTCTCCCAATTTTGAATGTAAACCTTCCATTTCAAATTCTTGTATGAATTCTGTATAGTTTTACTGTACTTGTAGCTTGATTCTTTTAAAAATAACGAAGATAAAAGTGCTTATGTATTTGAAAATTTCAGCTACCGACATGTTGAGATATTGTAGTCGCTAACATAAATTAAAGAGCAATCGCTCACTGTAGCAGTCGCCTTATGTGGTACACACATGGCATGTAGTTATTTGATATATTAATGTAGTAATTTTTTACCATATTTAATGTATCAAATACACACTTGACATATTGTGCCACAGAAGGCGACTGTTGCAGTGAGCGACTGCAAGTAGCATTATTCTAAATTAAAGGTGGTAAAGTGGTTAAGAACTGGACTAGAATGGACCAGATCAGACCGGTACATCTAAAAGTAGACTATAAAGTTAGGCTGTGGGTGGTGTTTGTGTGGAAGACAACTCTGTCTTTACTGCTCAGCCATTCAGTTTCATCCCATAATCATCTTCTTCTTCTCTCCTAGCAAATTCCCAAACTAGTAACTATAATATCTTAGCAAAGAAAAGTGCAGATTTCCAACAAAATTTCAATTTTAATTGCAAAAAAAGGAAGCTATGGATGCTGATTCATGGGCTGCTCGTCTTTCTTCATCCTCCAAGCGCAATTTGTTCAATTCACAATCTCGATCTGGTGAATACATCCGATCACGTTTTCCACTTTTTATATTGTGTAACTTCCATTTGGGAATCTTTAAATTGTTAACTGAACCGTGATAATGACATAGATTGCATTTTTATGGCTTTTCTGTGTTTAGGTCAACAACACTATATTGAAGTTTAATTTCTTTCTGAATTTTGGTAAATTCACGAAATTTTTTCTTGAAAGATCGAATTTGTGTGTGGGCTATTTTATGTGTATTTCGGATTGTGTTTCTGTCTAGGTATATACAAATGAGTGGGATCGTGGCAAAGATTGCATTTTGATGGGCTTTTTTTTGTGTGTGCTTGGATACTGTAGTGGGAATGAAATGGGATGGTTTTGATGCTGAAATGTTGATGGGGTTTGAGGAAATGGACATGGATGATGATATAAGAGAGGAGTATGCATGCCCATTCTGCTCGGAATATTTTGATATCTTGGGACTCTGTTGCCACATCGATGATGAGCATCCTGTTGAGTCTAAAAATGGGGTACAATTCCTTTCTGTTATTTCCATTCTAATTGATGTACAATGAATCTTGATAACGTGCTGATCATTCATTCATAGCACTTTTGTATACCTCAAAAAAAAAATTACAACTTCAGTACATTACATCAGCATGGTAGTCAACATCACAAACCAAACTAAACTAGAATCAGTGGCTGAGATGAATTGAATTCCAAAGGCGGCCTCATATTTCTCCATGACACTAGAAGAGTGCTTAGAACTCAGCTAGCACCCATTTACATCTAGGGTTCTTTATGAGTTTGGGTCTTACGAATTTTCAAAACTACCTCTAGAGTTCCTGTGTTGCTGGTGCTTGAATTTCCTTGGACAACCTTTGATTAAAACCTTTTGGTTCTCTCAGGAGCTTGATGTCAGATCTTTTTGGTTGTTGTCATTTTTTTGTTAGGATGTTTCTGTTTGAAGTGATATATAATCCATGTTTGACACACATTCTTTCAAAATACATTTTTTTTTCAAAACTCATTTTTAACCACACATTCTAAAATAATATAATATTTTCCATCAGATCAATAACTTTCCCTTACTTTTTAACCACATATTTTCAATCATATCACTATTTAAAATACATTTTTTCCTCAATAATATCCATCAAACACCCACATACTAACAGAGGCCTTTTGTTTGCAGATTTGTCCAGTTTGTGCAATGAAGGTGGATGTCGACATGGTTGGTCATATAACCTTGCACCATGCCAATATGTTTAAGATATCCTTCTCTCAGTTTGCACTCTCTGCTATGTTGTGATTGTTCTCCAGTTCCTTTTTTGCGGTATAATTAAATTGTTTCCATTTATTTTTTAGTTTTGTTTCTTGATTCTGCAAGAGGAAGTTGCCTTATATGAACTTATTAAGCATCTAGCCTGAGATTACTTTGGTGCTTTGCTGGAAGTACCGGTTCTCGGATAAAGATTTTGAATTGACTAGTGACATAAACTCCTTTTCTGTTTCAAGCCTGCGTGTTATTTTTCAGTCTCTCTTTTCTCCAAAGAAGCTTTAATTAGGAGAACTCAAAATTCTGAGTTTGGGAGCCTATTTGTTGTTAGGTGTTTGGAGAATTGCTTTTCAGAATACAATTTGGTGATTTGAAGTTGTGTGCCCGTATGTTGGACTGTTTTGAAAAACCTGACATTGATGTAGAAAAAATTTTACGTTCAAGACAAATCATTTTATGCATAAGGTTGTTGGGAAGGGGGATAGAACCTGTGTTCAGGTATGAAGCTTGAAGTTTCAAATTTATATCTAGGACAGCTTGGCAGCAGCAATGGTGGCCTGACTGGAGGGTTGGGTACTTAGATGGTGATGAAAGGTGGATGTCAGTGGTTTTATAGGCTGACCTGTCTTTTTTCAACTCTGTTGTTCACGGAAAAAATACGCAAGGAAAGGCTAGCTGCACTTGGCTCCCAAAACACCACTAGGAAGTCAACTTGTTTTTGCTTACAAATGTTTTTGTAACTGTTTATTTACTTTTTCTCTCTTTTATGTTTGAGAACTTGACCATCTGCCTTGAGTTCTTTGACTAAAGACACGTGCAGCGCAAGAGGAAATCACTTAAAGTTGGTTTGCATTCAAAACTTTCTTTGTTGAGGAGGGAACTGAGAGAAGGAAAACTGCAGTCTCTTTACGGAGGGTCTTCCCGTGCAGTTTCTTCAAGCAGTGCAGCTCCAGATCCATTGTTAGCTTCATTTATTTCTCCAATCATTGATGATTTTGGGAGTGTCCCGTCGCACTCTTCTGAGTTAGGATCGGTTAACAGAAGTGCAACCACAAACATTTCAGAAAGGTAATAGAATCCACCCCTATCTTAATTTTGGTTCTGTTTGACTTTTACTCACTTCAAAGTTCACCACAGATTGGAAGTATAATAAGAATCCAATAGAAAAGAGTGAATATCCATTTTCCAATTAGGATTCTAGATGCTCCCTATTGAGTTTCTTGCTTATTATTGGTGAAAATAATGTTTAATTTGACAGTTCATGGAATGGAAAAGAACATGGCCTATTGTGATTTAAAGGAAATTATTTTAGCAGCCATTAATATCAGCTGACTTTTCCTCCCTTTTCGTGCATTGTTATGTTTTCAATCGTAATCGATGAAAGAGGATCTAGATCCTTAATAATATCATGTTGTTGACTTGAGTTTTAGTTTCAAATTTCTTTGGTTAATGAAGAAAAATGAAACGGATACTCTGAAGAAGGAAAGACATGGTATTATTTTCCTTAATCCTGAGTGGTTTGACTACCGTGTGTGCACACGCGCGCTTTTGTCAGCCGAGCCGATCCGCAACTGTTGGTGTAGATAATTATCAAGGTTATTCATCGCATGAATGAATTGGCGCTGGTGGAGCATTGACATGAATTTGCATAGAGCCATATAGTGAAATTGAAGATCATCATATGGTAGAGTTAGAACATGGAACGATGAAGACGATTGCTGGACTAATCTTTGGTTCAATATCTTTTGCCTCTTTATAGTGAGACCAGATTGTGGTAGCTCCTAAACCATTATCTTTGAAATATTGTTGTTGCAAAAGACTACTATCCATCTTAGAAAACTGAATTGTGAACGTCCCCGACAAATATGTAGCCACTGTACAATTTTTTGTTCCTATTCAGTTCTTATGTATCTTGTTGATTTGGTTTTTCAGTTTGTTTGATTTTCAGTTTCTACCTTTGTTCCCTTTCTTGATATAATTACCTATTTTTTGAGCTCGTTTGAAGTTTTCGTTGTAAAAATCTTTACCGTTGCATTCTTTTACAGAAACGCGCAACCACCACCCTTGTCGATTGAAGACCAGGAGGAGAAGGCCAAGAAATGTGAGTTTGTTCAAGGATTGCTGTTATCCACAATTCTTGACGATAATTTATAAGGTCAGACTCAGGTGCTGGGCTTATGGACTACAGAAGTACGCACCTGTATTAATAGCTAGGGTAAAAGTGTAGTTTATGCGTTGCCTAATATTTAGCGGTAGATTAGCAACTGTCACATTCTGATTTCAGTTCATGCCTTGATTAAAACATGATTATAATTTACTGCTACCTTCACTGTTTATTGTTCTAGCACAGAATTTTGTGCGCACACGTCAGTGCGTGCGGGTGATTTTGACAGTTAAGGTAAAAGCGCGGGTTTGCGTCGTTGTCTAGCGAATTCGTGGCAAATGAAGTCCATGTAAGAAAGATGTGTATATCACGTACGAAATAGCTTCAATTTGTGTAACAAAATCATTGTTTGTGATGTCCCACAAGTGAGAAAGGATGGCAATGGGCTTGGGAATCCCCAATCCCGAGCCGAATAATTCCCGACTTATCAGAGAACGTGGACGGGCTAAAAAATCAGCCCCTTATTGGGGACGGGGATTCAAGGTCCCCGCTCCAATCCCTGTCCCATTTAAGGGTGTTTTCCCCCATAAAATTTCAAACAATGCATCATATACAAAAAATAAAAATAAAAAGTAATTGGGGTAGCCCCAGCCCCGCTTGAGCGAGAGGCGGGAAAATCCCAAGTCAGGACTCGGGGGGAGTTGGGAGGGGAAAATGGAGTAGCTATCCTAAATCCGTCCTGTTTCCATTCCTATAAGAAATAAGAAAAGGAATAAGGATAACCTGCTTATCATACAAGCAAATTAAGAAACAAAAGCTACAACATGGCAAACTTATCCCTGAAAAGGAAGACGAGAAATCCTAGTCGACAGCAAAACTAGTGAACTATGGCCAACTTCTTCTATTACAAAGAGAACCTAATCCCTCGATGAAATAGGAATTCGGGTCCTCATTATTTCTCTCACAACATTCCTTACAAACAGATCGAAGCAAGACGAGCATTGACCTTTCATCAGACTTTTCTGCATAGCAGCTGCACTCTCAAAGTGGCTACAGTTTAAGGGGTTATGTACTGGATAGACTTCATTTTGCCGGTGCTCTAGGCCACATGCGGCTAAAACGGTATGTGTAGAACTTCTTGCAATGTCCTTGAAGGTACTATAACCTGCCTTGACAAAATTATGGATACCAAATTAAGAAAAATTAAAATATGCACACACTAGCAAAACTAATCAAGGCATCATCGTAATAGTCGAAGGAAAATCAACCGTTCACTATCAAGGAGAATCCAAAAATATCAACAAAACTCGGATTGATAGTCTCAAATTCAGTTACCATTACAATGTACTCTTGTTTCATAATGAAACAAATGGGAGCCCGCCAGACATAAAAATGTCAATGTACACGACCTCTACTAAACTTCTAACATCTTTTTGTGCAATTCAAAAGAATAATTAAACAAGAACCATATAGAACAAATCCAGTCACCTTCAACAGAAAATCTTGATTCGCGGGACAATCGAGAGTATGATCTAAATTGTCTCTCTTTACAAGTGCAAGACATTTTCTAAAAACTTGCAATAGTAGTTATAGTAGGAAATTTAAAGTTAACATACCTAATTCCAGATTCCTGGACAAGCATTTTAAATGGCTTCTAACCATCGATTGCACTTGTTCCTTTTCCATTGGAGAACGATTCATCTCTCCAAGTGGTGGTGGGCCTGGTGGCGATATATGAACATCATTTATTATGTTTGATCTGCTACTGCAAGGATGAGGATGCTGATGAACCAATTCCAAACCATGTGTAGTATTGATGTCAGCGAATTCATTTTCTCCCAATCTGCCAAAAGAGTTATCCGCGGATATAGAAGCTTGATTGGGAAGTACTTGCATCCTCAAACTGCTAGATCTAGGAGAAAAAGCTTCCCTAGTATCCCTACCATGCAATGAAGGTGTCGTATTGTCCTGAACCCTTCCATGGAGATGCATATTTTGTGGTACCATGCTTTCTGGAGCAACTGCTGTCTGTTGAGGTGCTAATTCCCTACCCCGACCAACTTGCCAACCGAATAAAATGTTCCCTGAGATTCTGGGGACACCATTAGTCCTGTCTGGCTGTCTACTTCTGTTGTTAAGAAGTTGATTGATCTGATGCTGTATTCTGCGTCTTTCAAACACTGTATATGCCCCCGATCCAGAAGCAGGAGAAGCGGCTTGAAAATCATGAATTCTAGGAGAACGAGAGAAGCCAGTTCCTGGAGTCAATGGGATGTCAGGAATATACAACTCGTTAAGATCAAAAGTAGCCCGAAGACTTGCACCAGGAGAATGTCCAACAGACAAATTGTTACTTGCTCCATGACTGGGAGGAGGATTCAAAACTTGTGCATTAGAGGAAGCAAAAGCAGCTGGTCTACAACCCTCACAGTACCAATTACCTTCAGGTACTTCATGTCCAAGACCGACACAATAAGTGTGCGCAGGGGAATCACAGAGGTCACACAGTAACATAAGTGCATCATCCCCACCTAGTTGGCACTCAGTACACAGCACATTCTCATATGGATCAAGAAAACCCCTAAGCTCTTCCTCAGATGGTTGATAAACCTGTAAATATCAACTCTTAATAAAGAAAAAGTATAATTTAGAAATATTTATAATAACTAATAAGGGTCTCTTCTTGCCTCCATGAAGGTAAGGACTAATTTTATTACAATACCTGATCACGAGCAGGAACAGGAATCACCACATTCCTTGAATCATGTCCACCATCTGCTTGAGCATCCTTACTGATACTCGAAAACCTTTGCTTGCAGATGGGGCATCGAGATTCCACTTTTGACCACTCCATGATGCAAGCAAAACAAAAATAATGACTGCAACAATTTAATATTCCCCTGACTGTTCTCTTCCCTTCCTCTGATAGACAAATCCCACAGACCTGCTTCCCTGCCTCAATCTTCACGTCCTCTACCTTCTCCTTACCCTTTCTTCCTGGGGAGTTCCCCTGTGGAGGCAGACTTTCCTTTTCATTCATCTTCGATGGACATGAACTCCTCAAAGCAGTGGTTAAACTCCCGCAAAATTCACTAGCCTCTCTGATCTGTTCTCTCTCTTCCTCAGACATTGTGTATTGATAACCGGATGACCCTGAACCCAAGACATCTGTCTCAGAATATACAGCCGATTTCCTCCTTCCCCGTCCAGTTAGTTTCTTTTTCTTTTTATGCACAGTACGATAATCATCTCTAAACTCCTTAACATGAGGAGATCTTGTTTTTCTTCTCGAGCCTTGATTCTTTTTTAGTTTCTTTCTTTTAGTCTTCTTCAAAACCTTTGCAGTCCTCCTCTTGCACACTTTGGCATTTCCCTTCTTTTGCTTACTCGAGCTGCCCACCTTCTTCTTTTTGGAAGGCAAATCGTCATCATCATCTGCATCGTCAATCTCATCCAGTGTGAACTCCTCATCTTCTTCGAACTCTGAATCGTTGTAATCATCATCATCCTTTTCTTCTCTATATGAAAACTTAGATTTCTTTCTGGGCTTCTTGTAACTTAAATCATCATCTTCTTCCCCACTTAAAACCTCGATAACGTCATCTTCCTCTTCTTTAATTGACACCCTCTTTTTATTTTTTTGCACGACCTTTTTCCTTTTTGGCTTCAATAACCCATTTTTCTTTCTTCCTAGAACGCCCTTTCGACCTTTTGGTTTTCCAGCCTTACTGACCTTGGTTTTTACCCACTCCTCCTCAAATTCGCCTAAACTCTCTTCCGATTCATCCTTGTCCAGAGAAGAGCAGTATTCATCCTCTGACTCATCAAACTCCTCATCTATATTCACCTTGTAATCTTCATCCGACTTGTCCGAATCATTATTATCCAATCGAACCCTGGTCCTGGTATTGCGCTTGGATCTAATGTTGCCTCCCCTTACCATCTGTTCATACCCCACAACATCACAAGAAAATATATGAAATGGCATCATATGACACAAATATGTTGCAACTTGCAATTAACTACATCATATAGTAAAAAGAAGGCGAATCAAGAGAAATAAGCTTCCATAATCCAGAATTTATTTATTTTTCCTTGTTAACTGATTCTAAACTAAGTTATCCCGGCAAAATTATACATCATAGTTAGGAAAATTATTGTTTTGAAGAAACAAAATAAGGTAAGGCTAGTTGCTTAGTTTCTACAATACTCTATCTACAGTGAATCACATAAGTCGATATCATAAAAAAATTGATCTTCTACATTAAGCTCAATCATATAAGCAAAATCAATACACAACCAAATCCAATTAAGCAAAATATAAATAAATAAGTATTCATTTCTAAGAATAAAAATAAACCAAGACTAACAATAAACAATCCTTCATTCCTTCTATAACAGAAATGAAACACGAAGAAAATCGTATATCCAAATTTATTAATTATACCTTCAGTTTGACGATTCTTATAATTCCAGTCACAGCATCAAAACAATTAATCCAATAAAGAACTGAGTTAACTCAGCGGTTTAAGACAAGAATTAATTTTAAAAAATAGTTATTTTCATTCTAAATCACTTTCATCAGAAGTACGCTCAATTTTGAATATGAAAGGAAAAAAAAACAGCAGAGGATAAGAAAACCCTTACGAGATATACAGATGCAGAAAAGGTCGTAATAAATTACAGAGATATGGAGAGGATCGAATTGATACCTTTCAGAGGAGAAAACGAAGAAATAAATAAAATCCTATTGCACCGATTACTCTCTCCCTATACTTATGTGGGGGAGAGACGTTAAATAGTTTCATGAAAATGAAGGTAACAGGTAAGCACAGAATTCAATTTTTTTATTTAAAAAATAAAAACTAGAAAAGAAAAATGAAGAGGAAATTGCAAAAATTGTCTACTTGTACGTAGTCATTTACAAAAATGTCCAAAATTTTTTCAATATCCATTTTACTATTATATTGACCAAAATGCTCTTATTAACAATTTTAAATT